AGGCTGACTAAAAAAATCGGCCTGCGGAGGTATCATTTTAGTCGAGGTTCACGTCATTTAGTCGTAGTGCTAGTCGAAGTTCGTTTTAAGAATACGAAATGACGTAATTTTTAAGTTTTAGCTCGAACTACGACTAAAGTTTGTTTTAAGAATACCGGGGTAATTATTTTAAAATACAAAAAAAATTGAGAAAGGAAGAATATTATATTGAAATTTTAGTCTGAGAGTGCCATTTCTAGCTATCCAAGGTGCTATCATAAATTTTCTTACCTCAGCCTCAATTGTGGTGAGGCTGAGGTAGTGTAGACCCTCTATCTATTAAAGTATCTCCCTGGGCGTCCTCTATTTGAATTCCTGGATCCACCACTGGTAGTGTTGAGTGGTACTAAGGTTTGCTTTTGCTCTTAAAAAAGCAGAATCATAAGAGGTTTAACATGAATGTAAATAGTTTCAGTGGGAATCGTAGAACATGATGGTCATAAGCACTGTTGTCATAAGACCAAATTTGTTGTTTGCTCAGTCAATCACCATATAAATATGTAATGCTTTCGCTGCCACCATTGTCGTCATCATCATCATCATCATCTTTATCATGATCATCATCACCTGTAATTATTTTCCTAATCACTATCACCATCACTATTCAGTAATCAGCATTATATTTTTTTGATTTGATGTTTTCATCTCACATATTCATGTAGGAAGTTAGCAGATGGTTTATTCTTGGAGAGTTGTAAGGATGTTTCAGAGTTATACCCTAAAATTCAGTTTGAATCAATGATTGTTGACAACACATGTATGCAGCTAGTCTCCAATCCTCATCAATTTGATGTCATGTTAACGCCTAATCTTTATGGCAACATCGTTGATAATCTGACCGTTGGATTGGTCGGAGGTGCAGGGCTGGTCCCAGGGGAGAGTTTCTCAAATGAATATGCAATATTTGAACCGGTAAGTACCTTATTTCAAAATGCACCATTTCATTATACCCTGAGCCTTCGATATTATTGCTACTACACTAAAAAAGGACAACCATTTAAAAATTTAAATTTGTTAAAAGAGAACTAGAAAGATGATATTTCTTATATAGGGGATTTTTGATATGTCATTAGTAATGGAATCAACTTTAAAATCGTTTTTGGCAATTTTTTATGTAGTTGTTACGATTTACCCCTTTAGCAGCGTGATGGCAGTGTACGGTACTGCAACCAAAAATCGCCGGCGCTATACGATCTGATGTCACGCTGCTAAAAGGGCAAAATCGTAATGGCTATAACTTCATAAAAAATTGCCAAAAAAAAGATTTTAAATTTAATTGTATTACTGCTAGTGACATATCAAAAATCCCCTCTAGAAAACAAAAATCATCTTTCTTGTTCCCTTTTAAGTGTGCAATTGTTAAGGAACACACATTGTTTGTGCTACAAGGGTTTATTCCTGGCCCTCCCGCCCTATTAAGTCAAACTGGGCACTTACTGGGTCATACGACTGTCGTACGACTATTCCAACTTTGCTTCCTGTGAGCGATAGACAACGCAACGCCATCTGCTGATTCTCAAGAGTAGTAGTCTGAATGGATCCTTAAAAATGATCTGTTGTGCGCATGTTGCTGAGTTGCATTCTTCATGGAATCATGACGATTGTTGTGCACGGCGTGTGCTCGGTTTAATGCACTCTGATTGATCATTAAGATTGAAATGTCAGGAAAGTGCATTCACTGTTATTTAGGTAGGCTTCCTCTATGCACGTCAAAGAAAAACGACGTCTGACCATGTAGTACCTACTTTTTCCAAATTATTGTACTAGTAGTGTTATGGGAATTTATAATGCACCTCTTCCTTGAGGTCATAAAGCGCAGTTTTTTCCCTGGTCATTGGGTCAACATGCTTTAAGTGTTCCTGCTCGTAATCAGCGTAGGAGCAGTCAACCCCACCAGGTGCCCATTTGTGGCAAGAACAAGCCAAACCAGTCACTTCTCGCAAAAATCGATTTTTAGTTATTAGTACAAGGTTAAACAGTAAAATGACAGCTATAAAATGGTAAAAGAATCATGTAAATCAGACATTTTGTTATGAAGTTACAGGAGTTTATACATACAGCTGTCTAAAGAACAATATATGAGAAATCAGCCTTCAAATTTTATGATTTCAGGCATTTCTCAGGCAGAAACCATCACCAAATTGTTATAAATTGTAGTTTCAACATTGAAAATGTGGAAAATAATAACATAACATGCAATAAAGTAGATTAAAAAAATGTTGACATTCCAGCATGTTTTGGCCATTACTGTATCTCTGAAACAGGATTTTGCGACGAGTGGCTGGTTTGGCTTGTCTTTGCCACATTTACACTCCTGGGTGAAGAGAAGCAATGCAGATAAAATGTTTTGCTCGAGGACACAAGCGAAATGCACAGCGAGGGATTAAAACTCGGACCTCGAGTTTGGGAAACCAAACCATTCCCCCTGCGCCAAACCGCCTCCACTAGTCTAATGTCTTATTTAAACAATTTTGTTCTAGGGTGCACGACACACATTCACTGGAGCAGTAGGGCGCAACATTGCAAATCCCACGGCCATGCTGCTCTGCTCGGCAAACATGCTGAAACATATGAAGTAAGGAAAAAAACCACGACTTTTATTGTTGTTATTGTTTAATAAATATTTTGAAAACAGGAATCTCTAGTTAATATTAAATGTTTCTTTCAAGTGTTTCATTTGTGTGGCTACAATCTTCATTAGAAATCTATATACAGTACTTGTATCCTCATTCTATAGTGCCATGTAATATCTATATTTAAAAAAAATATTATTTTGTTTATAGTTTGAATATCCATGCAAGATTAATAAGCGATGCTGTAGAAAGAGTGGTCAAAACGGGAAAGGTAAGATAATAAATTATTCATCATTAATCGTTATTGATCATTGATACTAAAATTGAAAGTTGTTTTTTTAAATTTAGATAATTGTAATATACAGTAGATTTGTACACTTGTAAGTACATGAACTTCTTTGTACGTTATGCTATAACGTTAAACTTTCACTGTCTTAATATTATGCATGAATGCATCATTATATTTCATTATTGTTTTCTTTTTAGGTTCGAACTCAGGACATTGGTGGCTATGCTACCAGCACAGACTTCACTACTGCAGTTATAAACAGTATTAGAATGTAATGTGCATTCAATAAATAGAGCTATGGACCTGCATTATACCAATCAGCTAACATTCACATGGCTATGGTCATATTAGCATCTCTGTTTAAAGCTCAGTGTACATTATCAAATTAAGTGACACATTTGTGTGGATGATGTCATATTACACCCATATGGCAAATCCACATGCATTTATCACATAAAACTACATAGTGTGGACCGTGTCTAAAGCTATTATTACTGTTACATTTGTTGGAATTTATAGTTTACTGGAATGTTCATAAGTGATTATTTATTGTGAAATAATGACTGGAGTTTTATCGAACACTCTGATGTTATATCATTTGTATTTGATAGTACAGTAGGTGTATAGTTGTATGGAACTCGGCTATAGTAAAACTCAGCTATAGCATATATCGTTCCACATCCGCTAAAAAAATTCAGGCCTAGTTCAGACTAGGTGGATAAACCCAGCTTAACTCACCGGGTTTATCCACCTGCCAGTCTGAACTAGGTGGCTTATCTCAAGCCGGGCTGTGTTGCTATAGTAACTAGGCCTGGCGTGCCACCGTGTTTAACTTTTCTAAGCCGGGCTTTAATTGTTGCGGGGGGTCTTGCATTGACTTCAGGTAACAAAATGACCAATCAGCATTCAATTACTTATGGTGTGAGCGAGCGAACATTTCGTGAGCAATGTTTTGAAACACGTTTGATGGTTAAGGTTCATTATTATGAAAATTCTCACGTCTGGCTAATCCTGCTAGTCTGAACGCCTGCCAAAGTTAAGCTGGGCTTAGCTCAAGCCTGGCTTAAGTCTGAACGTAGCCTCAAAGAAAATCTTTCCCACTGGAAGAACAGGCAAATTTTGCCCGCATATACCACTCATACTTATCCCAAACAATACGCACACTTCCTGTGTTTGTAACTGTATACAAGTTAAGGTTTATAGTTATGGTTGGCTGTTATTATTTATAAAGTTCTGTTTTGTTACTTAATCTACTTCTAACTCAAGATTGGTATATTCAACGCAATATAATAAAATAGTAGTATTATAGTGATGTTGTACTATTATATCTGATGTCTGCTTAATCGTAACTTGCATTACAGCCCTCCAGTTAAAACAGCCTTGGATTGAACCGGGGACCTATAGATTCTACCTCCACAGTTCAATACACCTGGCTACCACCAGTTTAGCCGACTGGGCTATGCTGCTCTGTGGTAAATAAAGTGTTGTTTCAAATATAATGTGGGAGAGTCAATTGTTGATCTACTAACTTAGGAATTAAAAACTGTGTCGAGGTGACTGGCATTCTACAACACTACGGTAGAAGGATGATGCCGGCTCCGTCCCCCTAAATCCTCCTCCTGATACTGAATACATCTGCCTAAACAAAATTATTCTGTTCTCTTCTCAGATCATCTAATACACCAAAGAAAAAACGATCCAGAAAGAATTCAGGCAAAATACCTGTTTGAATGTTTGATGTTTCATTTTATTTATTCATTCATTTAGTTTTCGTTCAGTAGGGTATCCCTTTCAGTGCAAAAAATCCTGCATTTCCGAGGGCCCTACAACTCATTAAAAATGTACAAAAAATATACATAAACATATCTTAACTACAAAATTGGAAAAAAAAAATTATTGTATTTTTAAACAATTAGCATTAAATCTATATACCTAATGTGTTGGCCACGCCTGACCGACCCGAAATTGAAGGGGGGCATTTTTTTTTTTTTTGACTACAACGAAAAATATTTTTAAGCTAAGCCAAAAAGGCTGTTAGGCGATGCGACAGTGTCATGTGATCGTTTTGCTCTTCAATATAGATTTAAAAATGGTCTTTGTTGTATTTTTGTGTATTTTCCTATTAACCTACCCATTTTTAAAATTTTCCCAAAGCGTGGTCAACACAAGATTCATCAGAAGTTAAAAAAGGAGTGTTTACTTCACGGCTCTGTTTTTACCAATACTTGCACCACGATACACAAAATCGTATTGTCAAGTTTTTGATATGGCTCCACAGAGTATGAAAAAAAAAAAAAAAAATGAAATTTGGATCAAATTATACTGGTTTTTTTTTTTTTTAACTACTGAAGTAAAAACAAGGGTGGCACCAGTCATCAAACACGAATAAATTCATTTGGCGTATACTAATACAGTATATCAGGTTACATCTACCTAAAAGAATGCACAAGATTACATTTATATATAAAACAATTAATTGTAGCCTATAGAAGTTTCTGATAAGCAAGATGACATGACATATGTATTGTATGTATTGTATATGTATATAAATTATATATTCTCGTTTATGTTGCTAATGTCTATCTTTTTCAATTGGTCGGAGGAGGGTGCATACACACTCAATCCCTCCCTCCCCCACCTCCTTGGATACAGACCTGAGCTAAATCTCTAACAAGCTTACCAGTTACATTAACAAATACAAGTCAATCAAGGTGCTTTTATATAATTAATTTATAAATACTTAGTGGGTGGAATGCTACTTTCTTCCAAGTCCCAAATGTGTATCAACTCAAGTGCACATGAAAATAATTTGAAAAATGAATTCTAATCTTAAGCTAAAAGTTAATTATTCAAATTTCAGTATAAATAAATGTATAATTTAAAAAAAAAAAACCCAACTGAACTAAATGAAAGTTGGTATAAAGGTTCATTTTCTTCTTCATGAATCCAATTATCAAGTAAAGTAGTACTATATGATTCTACCAATATTTAGTATGACTGACCTCAGAAATCATAAGTTTATTGTGGGAATGTCGGGACATAAACTTGGTATACAAATACTAGCATGTTAAAACCGGTCTCGCATGTTGCGATTTTTGCTTTCAAGCTGCACTACAACGTGCGTGAGAGTTGGGACAAGGGGTGAGAGGTATTATGTATATGACACGACAGGGATAGTCATATAGGAATATCAAACCATATCTTAGTGTTATTATTATTACTACTACAATATAATTCAAATTTTAGTAACCTTCTACTTCATTATTTCAGAGTATTTCAACGTCAACTTTTAGTGGAGCACGGCTGTCGAACACATAAATCCTTTCCATTGTTCAGTACAGCCCTCAAACCATTGACTTTTCTCAACATATAATTTAACATACTACATTAGCAAAATCCATGGTTTCCTTAAAATCGCTAGTGTTTTCGGTGCAGTGGTTGAACTGCGTACTGTAGTAGTAGTTCCCAATGCCGTTTGACCGAACAATCAGCATCACCGAAAGCTGTTGGCGATCGCGAGTAGCGATTGTATGGAAACCAAGCTAATATATGAGAACAACAATTTTAATTTTTTTGTTATTAAAAAAACTACAGTACATAATAATCATTTTAAGTATTAAGTAGACAATTTCAAGGTGTAACTCGAGGGACAATAATCTGATTTAAGGTGAATTTAAGAAATTTATTTGAGCTTTTCAGAATAGTCTGTTCACACTATGGAATTCTATGTGACAAACTTGTGTGATGTGTGCCCATGCTTGGGCATGATGTCATGGTATACCTAAATACAGGCATTTCACAGTTTGTCACATCAAATTTAATGGCGTCGACAGAGCTTTATAGAAGCAACTAAAGGAATAAAATCCACACTAATTACATGAACTCTTCTATCATATTATTCATCACTTAAAATTTGTATATTAGACACAAAAATACAGCTAATGTATATACATTTCAAATGGAATATTTAAGCTAAGTTAATTTTCTGAAGACAATAACTTCTACCTGGGTTTATATCTTTTCAATCTTACCGATACGGCACAGCACTCTTTTCTTAAGCTATGTCCAAACTATCAAATTTTATGTGACAAATGAATGTGATATTCCCAAATTTGGGTGTAATATGACACCATCATGACCATATATGGGCATATCACACACATTTGAAAGTGTGGACAAAGCTTCAATTTGGAGGACACGACATGTCTACTTCTTCAAATGTTGCTGCTCTAAACCCTGTTTTCCACTAGGCAAATTTATTAGCGCGAATCAAAGGCCTCGGTTCAGTTCCTGAACTCTGATTGGTTCCTCATTTTTTTCACTTCGCAGAAAGTAGAAACAGTTCGTACTACCGATTTTGCTGAAGCGAAAACCCCGCAATAGAAATGCGAACGTGTATACACATGAACCAATGCTTTTGAATCGTGCGAATAAATTTTGCAAGTGGAAAATAGGCCTTTTTGGAGAACCATTGATAACATCTTGAAATCTGCACTATTTACTTTTTCTTATGATTGGTTGTGTTCACTGCCCAGGTCATTCCTTTCTGTAAACAAAAAATGACCCACAACAAATGAATTTGCTATAGAATTATATCATTCCTTTATAATTCATTACATTTGCAAAAACATAAAAAAAAAAAAAATAACCCACAAATCTGGAATTAGAGCAAGCACTTTAATCATCCAGCTACAGCTCCACTCTACTATCAAATGAATTGAGATTTTTATATTGGATTTTTGAGTGTGAAACAGACACAGAGAAGTCTTATTCCCAGTGAGGTCCTTCTGGTGGTAAAGACAATCCCCTGCACTTTTTCTAGGACTGTACTACTAAACTGCACATGGGTCATATTGCACACATATATAGACAAATATTAAGACAAATGCCATGGCCTAAATATCCCATCTAAAAATTGGTGCGCAATCATAAATTGCATTTCAGCCCTCCAGCTGAAACATAATTAGAGGAGCAGTGATTAAATTGAACAAGGGAACTGATCTGAAAAGGATCTCCATGGTTTAGAGCACATGAATACAACCAATGGATATTTCCAGTAAGCCCTGGCCCTTTTATATTGTTAAGGTACCAAAAACAATAGCGCAAATGTATGTAAACATGTGGATTTGTGACACAATATGTGTGTGTTGGACATATGCGTATTCCTGGTCCTGTTCTGATTGGTCAATTAAGTTTGATTGACACATTGGAAAGGTCTATTTAGCTGACTGAGATGATTTTAATAATATAAAAAAAAAAAAAAAAGACAAACCTCAAGGCCTTCCTGTGTGTGAGCAGAACATGCTTGAATTTGCCATTTACGATCACGAATACCCGTTAATAATAAAATCTTAGAAACATCAGAAGCCTTCTTGGCCAATGGCAGATCTTGTTTATTAGCAAACACAAGCACCGGGACTCCTCCTAGCTTTTCTTCCCCTAAAAGTTCATTCAATTCCTTTTTACAAAGAAATAAAAAGAGAATTGAGTTTCAATATTAGACGAAACATAAAAAAATAATCTTCCTGTACTCGATTTGAAACATTGCTCAGTTATATTCAGTTCACTGGTCCTAAACTTTGAAATAATTCACTCAATTTAATTAAAAATTGCTTTATATTGAATAAACACCTACTGTACTGTCAAATGATTATTTAGTTCTGTCAATATATCCATGACCGAGTCATCTACCTTGGACCTATGCTTTCTTTACAGATTTTTGTCCACTCTCCATTTCTGTCTGTTTTGTTGTTTTTCTTTATCTCTGTTTTGTTTTCTTTGTCATCCTCTGTATTGTCTTGTCATGTGGTATTATGCTTTATTATTTATTCATTTATTTGGATTTTTTAGCTGCTCTTCTCAAGCCTGGCTTTTTAAAGTTATATGCTATTTTTATTTTGTACTTCATGAGAGAAATAAAATCTTAAAATTGAATTGAAATACAGCAGGTCAAATAAAGACTACTGTACTTACATGAAAAATTCAAGTCATAAAGCATAGCTAAAACCAATACTTACATAGCCAGCCTCTTCCATTCTTGGTGTATCAGCACTGTCAACTACATATATAAGTACATCAATGTGATCAAAATAATTCTTCCAATATGGCCGAATATGTCTCTGCCCTGATAATTGAAAATGAACAAATTACTATTATTATTATTATTATTCCATTTTACTTGACATGTGTTTGTAATTATGTTTGTTTGTTAATTTTAAAAATTGTATCTGGTTTGACATTTAGCATCCTTTATAAAATGTGCTCCACTTGTGCTTTGCCTTTGCATGTTGTATTAATAGAGATACCATGAATGAAAAGTGGCTGTGTGAACCATCAAACAAGTATATTGGCAAAAAAAAAAATTATCATTGGAAACAAAAAAAGAGCTAACCCTAGATTGCATAATAAGTCAATCAAAGATACCTCCAATGTCCCAGACGTTTAATTTCCACTTTTGTGTGCTGACGCTTTTGATGTTGAATCCCTGAGTAGGTGTAATCCTGGTGTAGTCTTCACCTGCAAGTGCCTTGAGTATTGTTGTTTTTCCTGCATTATCTAATCCCAGTAATAATACTTTAAGCTCTTTAGAAGGCTGTGATTTCATCTTCCTTAATAAATCCAAAAGACCCTTGTTGAGATAAGAAAAGAATTTATTCATTTTATTTATTTGAACCATATTCAATCAGGGTGAATCCAGCAGAAGCTAATCATTTGGGATGCTCAAATTGCCATATCATAAACATTCACAAATCATTAATAATATACACTGGCATAACTATGAAAAATGAATTAAATCTCATTCTGCATATTATACAGATAGCAACAGCTGTAACTTCTCTAAAAAATGTATGTATAAACAATCTACAATAATGACATTTAATTTTTTTTTAAACCCGGAAATTTAATAAGAATAAGATGAATAAATAGGGTCTAGGCCTAGCTATGTAGGGATGAAAAAGCACTATATAAACAACTCAAACAACCTCATCCTCCTTCCCCCCACTCCCACCCCGCAATTCACTCCCCGTATACCGTAGTAACGCATGTACGTAGACCTTACCAAATGGGGTTTAGGCCTAGGCCTACATACGGTGAACAGCCCTCTCTGCTGAGGGTCCATTAGTGTTGGCCTAGGCCCAGGGCTATAAATATAACTCAGCCGGAACTCCAACAAACAAAATCTTGACAAAGAGGCTGCCTAGCAATACATATATTCCTAGTAGTAGGAGTCAGTGTATTTCCAATTACAGTAATACACAAATAAAGAATCTAATTTATGGTTAGGCATTAGGATTTGGTACTTACCATTTTGAGTATTCGGCAAGCTTTCAGGTTCTATTACGATGATTAATTTAGACCAAACATTCACCGATTACTTATTTTGAGAAATCAGTGTTGTTGTAATTCAAAGATCAAAGTTCAAATCATGTTCAGTGGTGCGTAACCAACAAAAATAAGATAAGCTTTGAGGCTAAATTCTTGAAACTCTAATGTCTCCGCTCACCTCTTTCGAATCTGCGCCCTTGCCAAACACAAAACCATTTTTTTCTCTGCTCTCCTTTGACGATCTTTAAAAAATATAAGATCGCGAAACAAGGTATAAAAAAATGTCTCGCTTATGATGAAGAAAAATGTCGTTGTTAGTCTAGAAGGTCCCCTCCAATTAAAGATCCCCTTTCAGGACCGGGGTTTCTGTGGTCTCTAGCAGCATTGATCTCTAATTAGAATAATAAATATAAAATTCATTTGTTAATTTGGGACCACAGAAAATTGGTCTTTAATTGGAGGTGGTCTTTAATTGGAGGGGTCTTTAATTAGAGGGAGACCTGTATACTGTATATTTACCATGATGCCAGTGTCAACCGTCACTAAAATTTTGAGAAAGGTCGTAGGTGTGACCAGATTTCATGAGAAATGTTGTTTCGTTATACGGCAACCTGGTATTTCATTCGTTTACTTATAGCATAAGCTATCCGACAGATTTCCGATCCGAGTCATGGACGATATACACATTTCCTAACCGAATCCCATGTGGATACTTTATTAGTAAACATAATAA